CATCCTTTTTAATTAAAAGATATCTGGCACTTCACATTGTTGGCCTCTGGAATACTGGCGAAGAAAGGAAGATGTTATACTATTTTACGTCGCTATCGAAGGCTGAACTCCGAAATAGCGATGATTTAAGTTAATCGTCACGCTTAATCTTTCATCTTTAGGATCTGTTGGTTTTCGGTTGCAACGTGATTTTTCGCTGTTTTCTTTTATCGTTCTATAATTTCTCTATAATAGATTTTGAAGGCAGGACTTTACTCTTAATTCTTCTGTGATGCACTATGTCTTAGCACCGACTTCGCAAGCTATTATAAATGGTTTTTTTAGGAAATGATTTTAATTACTTTTTACCTTTGAAGTCGGTTCTACTTTTTATTAAAAGTTTAATTATATAAAATATTTATCATTGTTAGATTATCTTTTCCTTTAATAGTCTTTCTTAACGTACAACAAAAGTATGGTATTATAGTTGCCCCATAATAGAAAATATTGTTTAACGGTGTACCTTTCTTTCGTTTCCAGACGCGAGGAGTGTTACAGATGCATGGTTATTTTGGAGAAGCACAAGTACGTTCTACAGTATAAAGAAAGTAAGTATTTAGTAATTCATCTTATAACTTTTAAAACCTTATAAAACTTTCTTCTGGTTTACGTGATAACTATTGGATTCCTACACCAGCGACATCTTACATGTATTGCAGATTTTCTTTTCGGAGATATAGGGAGTGTGCACATTGAATGCTTGTAAGAAAATTATTAAAACGACACAATAATTGAAAGGTCGGTGTGTAATAGCATACAAAGTCAAATTATGATTGTTAGTTGTATCCAGTTTTCGCGTCATAAGTGACAATTTCTACATGTTATATTTGAGTGTTGGTCAAAAACGCGCCGACCGCGCGTCTTGTGGTCAATGCTTGGCTATAACGACGCGGGTCACAGATACAAATCTTAGAAAGAGTCAACATTTATGCAAAACACAATTTTATAGAAATAAGGGTGACGAACGAGGACACAGTTCACCTGATGGTTCACTGTGGTCCATAAACATCTACTTTAATCATCGAATAATAATCAAAACGGAATACCTCGTTACTAGTACCTAATAATAAAAAAAAAAAACTAAAACAACGCCCATTGGCCATCCTAGTGAGTAAATAGGAATTATGATGATCCTAGTAAGAATAGGTACTAGGTCTTGCGATGTGATAGGTTGTAATGGTGATGACGATAATGATGAAGCATACCTTCATACATATCAAGCTAAGAAAAGTGTGTAAAAGAGGGTCTCCATTTCTCTACACTCGTTTATGTACACTAAGTTTAGTGTCGTAAGAGGCGACAGGCGGAAACTGAACCAGGACATGCGCAGCGGCATCTTCCCGATAAAAACTCAAAATAATAAAAACTGCGGTCGCCAATTTGCCTGCCAATTTTTATACCCACATCATTAACCCACGGGATGATATGGACCACGGGATATTTTTACACCGCTATTACACGGGCAAAGCTTTACAGTGTAGGTACATTAATTAATAAACCTAGCAAGCTAACAGCATAGCAAAGTGGCGAAGCAATCAGCTTTGTAACGGTTTCTAACGGTTGCCGTTGAGCAATCAGTTTCAAAATAGGAGGTTCAGATGCCTGGGTGATCAGTAATCGATTGCTGAAAACAGAATTTGAAAATTCAAAACCGTTCTCGAGATAATCGTGGGACAGACGGACAGACGGACAGACGGACAGACATCGTGAAATCAATAAACCTAGCAAGCTAACAGCATAGCAAAGTGGCGAAGCAATCAGCTTTGTAGCGCTTTCTAACGGTTGCCGTTGAGCAATCAGTTTCAAAATAGGAGGTTCAGATGCTTGGGTGATCAGTAATCGATTGCTGAAAACAGAATTTGAAAATTCAAAACCGTTCTCGAGATAATCGTGGGACAGACGAACAGACGGACAGACGGACAGACATCGTGAAATCAATAAGTGACTTCGCAAGCTTCGCCACTTAATAAGTATATCGGATCTGGATGTTTTGTGTGTGTTTTTGTGTCTCTGACACTACGTTCTACCTTCGACCTAATGACATAGGCACTACTTTGGATGAGAGTAGATTAGGACGTGGGAGTTTTCTATGTTAGACCCAATATATCCTGCGCCTGCACATTCGATAGTAGTAGGGAGGTGTCGCCGTTGATATCATTATTTCTCGATAACGCGGTGGCTAAGCATTTGGCTGCAGCAATGCGGACACGTTCAAAACACGGAGCAAGTACAGTCTTCAAATAATTAAATAAAACAGAGGCAAACCGAAGCAGGACATGGCCAGCAGCATTTTCCCGATAATTACTCAATTAATAAAAAACTGCGGTTGCCAACTTGCCTGCCAAGCGGGGCTACTTTGGCAAAATATCCCCTATAAAGCAACCTGTGGGGTAGGCCTATGTTCAGCAGTGGACTTTTATAGGTTGTAATGAATGGATGGATGTCAGAGTTTGATATAAGTAAAATAAATTCCTAGTCAAAAGGGAGATTAACACTAAAAATATCATTAATTGACTTGCTTTGCTTGTTTTTAGCATTTTGTTCAGAGAAGGACTCGATGTCGTCAATATGCGAGTCAATTAGCGGCGATGCACCGCTTTACTCCATGTTCCGTAAGGAACCCAGACCGGTGCCGCAGCCCTGTCCTTTCCACCCGGCGCCCTTCACCTTCACGTACAGCCGGTAAGTTATTTCATCATCGTCGTCTTTTTGGTGATAATATCAGTGGTCATATTACTTGAATCCATTTTTATTTGAAGTCATATTTTATGCACAGAAGCCCATAGCATCATCATCGACTCAGGCTTCATACAAGTATAATTTATGTTAATATTTAAATTACTTATGTTACTGACATGTTAACGAAACAATTTAAAATGTTGTTCGATGGAATAATATCTATAGAATAGAATCCAACTCTTTGAATATTTTCTGTTTCCTACTCGTCACAATATATTAATTAATTTTTTGTTTGTTATCTTCTACGAAATAAAGTAACAAATTGAAATTTCGACGCTTGACATACCCACGTTGACATGTAACAGATAACATAAAACGTAACTTAACCAGCAAATGAAATTAGTGACGCTAAACAAAAGTTTTTATTTTCCCCGTGGGCTTGATAAATAAGCTCTTTCATCGAGCTTTTTTAAAAGTCGGGGCTAATCGTACAATAGTTTTTTTTTATTATAATAAATCAAATTCTAGGGGCTCCGGCGACTGTGCAAACCCGCCTTCTCGTGCGGAGTCTTGTACAGACGATTCACGACTGCTGCTGCGGTACATGGCCTGTCCCGACGTGCCCGGAACCGAGAGTAATGGTAAGTGCTTACCACTTACACAGTAATGTAGGGCATACTGTATTAGACCCAGTTAATATAGGGGTCGGCTCGACAAGGAGCACCACGCTCTAACAAAGTTCATTTATTTTTTATTCATACTTCTTCAATGCTGAATATAAGCCTCTTCCATAGATAGCCTTATAGAGAAGAAAATTGCCATAGTTGCCACGCTTGGTAAGCAGGTAGGTAACCTCGGTTTTTTAGTATTATCTGAAAACTGTGATATTATTGAGGTATTATCAGGAAAATATTGTTGTCCATCCTTGTTTTAGTTTCCCTCTGTTGCCTAGACGGACTTTTGTTACGTGGAGATCGTTTGTAACTTTAAAGTAAATTCTCACATCGCACCCGTTTTTAAATATTTTTTTATGATTTAAATAAATGACCGCCTCGAAGGACCAATTTAATATATTTTGTCGAATTTCAGTTGAGGAGCTTGTGTGCTTAGCGACATGGAAGGAAGGCTCGACGAGATATCTGGTGGGGCAGATTTCGCAGGTCACAAGGAGAAACTCCATTGCTTCTGATGAAGATACGTATAGGTATGTATCTTAAAATACTTTAATACGTGTGAGAGAAAGCAACAATTTTACTCTCAAACAAAACCTTTATAAGATTTCAACTATTCTCCTAATACTTGCAGATGTTTCATCTACAAGGGTCAGCACAGCGATAAAAGTATGACGTACAACATTGCTCAGTCAGGGGACGCCACTTGTAACGGACTCTCGTCACCCACCGATGGCAGCCGAATTATGAAACTCACAAACAGTTAGTATTTTCAAAACATGACACTATTATTTTTGCTATATGTTCGCAGTGCTTTATCAGTCTGACCTTTAAGCACGATGTTTCCTGACTGGGTGTTAAAAACAGCTAAAGCGCTCGTCCAAAATTTCACAATATAGATCCGGCACCGGATCATCAGAGAAAACGTCATCTTTTGATTTTAAACAACTTTGATTAAAATATTTATTGATTTCCTTTTTTTTTATTATAATCATTCTGTGATGTCATCGAGGTCAAGCGAAGAGCTACGTTGGCAAGGCATTACGTACATAATTGCGTACTTTCAGTATACGTTGATCAAGGTTGCTAATTAAAGATGGAGTCTGTCAAAGGGGACTAGATTTTAGGCTTTATTTTTTAGTTAGTGAGGTGCCTCGCACGAAAGAATTTTTATTTGAAAAAAATATATATTTCTTTCCCAAAACTCCCTTTATAAATATAAATACCATTTCTTACGATAATGCGGAAACGTGGTTATTCCATTCCTTGGTTAATGTTACACGATTGGCGCTTGCAGGTGACGACGAACATAACCGCTGCCACTTCCCGAGCTGGATCGTGGAGCACCACAAGTGGTTCAGCCTCGACCACACGCACCAGTACCACTTCACCACCAAGAACGCCACGCTCAAGGTTTGTGATCTTCCTAGCAAATAATTAGTTTCTTGCAGAGTAACACGTTAAACCATACTATTGGTGTTGCAAAACATTCAAAATGTCGTGAGTTTTACAATTTGTGGAATAAACTTAAGAAATCATTATTTACCTAAATAATAACTATTGAACTAAGGCGAGTACTATTTCTGACGGTAAGACTAATATTTCTGTTTCAGATAATGAACGAGAACGGCTCATTCGAGGAGAAGCGGCTGGTGTGCCACTCGATACTGGAGCAGAAGGACAAGAAATACATAAAACTTGTCGCACACGTGACCAGGGGATGGTAAGAACCTTTTAAAAGTACTGACTAAACTGGATCGAAAAAACAAAATTTCTAATTCGAAATTCTGTCATGACCCATTATTAAGCTTAATTGGGGTGGTCAACGGAAGCATGAGTAGTGCTTTATAACATTGCTAGTATATAAAAAATAAAGAAGTATGAAGATTAAAATTAGTGTTGTTATTATTATTGCGGTACTTTGTAAAACTTACTGGCTTAATTATAATCGTTTATTATTGCATATTTAAATTAAGTATTAATTATCTCTATACCTGTCGCTTTCTATTGTTATTTAATGAAGTGAGAGGGGGGGAGGAGCAACTTTGAGCATTTCTCAAATTGACATCAATTTTTATAAGTAAAGCCGCTTAATATTAACTGTGTGTCTATTTTTTTGCTTCAACAGAGCAAAGCCGGGACATATTTGTATTAAAATTTATCAATTTCTTGCACGCTTGAATTTTTAACTTTTTTTTTTACTATCGGTTAAAAACCACGTGAAAAGTACTCTAGGGCTCTTTCGTGGCTATATTTATTACCTCTGTATGACAACGGCGTAACCATTATATTTATTTTACTAGTCTGATTCGCCAATCCCTATGCCAATAGTGACGATTATGGTAAATTTGCCAATTCAGCTGATATGGAAGAGGCTCATGGTATTGTCTTATCCGGCTCGAAGGACCAACTATACTTATTTCGGTATAACTTTTAACATTTCTAAAGTTATGAATTTACTGGTGATTGAGAATAGCATTAACAGTGCGAGGGGATCTGTTCGATCCAGTGTGCTTAATTTGGCCTTTTGGTTTGCGTTTAGTTAATCCTAGTGTGTTTTTGGAAAAGGCAGCATTGAATTAAGGAAGACTGATTGTAAACTAGACCTTAATAACAGGGTTATTTTTCAAAGAGTAGCCAAATTTTAAACTTAAGTTGAAATATACAAATAATGATATACCGTTATTGCAGTTTTTGAAAATACGAGTAAATAAAGCTTTTACTTTTATTTGAAATTATCCCAAATTGAATGTGATTTATGGGCAATAAGGTTTTTGCCTACGGATCGACCCTTACGAATGTGTACGTGCGCCGTAAAATCAGTTAAAATAATGCATAATCACGTATTTTGAATTTAAAAGATAAGAAGAACACAATGTTTGAGATTTTAATTACAGATGTGTGATTACCTATTTTGAACCTTCTCTGCAAATTTGGCCGGTTATTGCAAAATAACCCTGTATGTTTTTAATTAAAAGTAAGGATGACAAACTGGCATAAAGTCCACTTGATGGTAAGTGAATTCTGTGGCCCACATATACTGATATCTGTTCTCGATTAAGAATCAAAATACATTCTAAACAGAAATGCTTCGTTACCAGTAGAAAGGGCATTTGGTTCTCGTCACTCACAACATGATACACAGCAGCATTATGCTTACACTGTCATTCGATGTAAGTCATATTTAAATAGTTTGGTCCAGCTGTGAACTGTTTGCGGGATAATTAAAGCTCTCTAATTCACACCATGTAGTGGCGCCATACGAGTATTCACTACCTCTTGTCATCGCGTGAATGATGTAAGAGGCCACAGAGGGAAATGAAACAAGTTCCTGAAAACAACACAAAATAATTAAAAAACTACATTTGCCAACTCGCCTGCCAAGTTTGGCAACTATTTAAATATGACTTTATATATATCCGCCCTATGTGTTTCCCTGCTTCATAACGTTCTCAGTTATGAGTAGAGGGCACGCAGCGGTGGGACGTGGGGCGCGGTAGCGCTGAGGGCGGTGGTGTTGTCATGTTGTGTGGTTGCAGCGAGTCGGGGCACGTGTGCCTGCGCTTCGCGCGGCGCGAGGCCGACGTGCTGGAGCTGCAGCAGGGCGCCGGCCTGTGGGACGCGCCGCAGGACGCCTGCGCCTCCGACGCGCCGCAGCCATACGTCACGCTCATCAGTCAGTACACGCCTTTACTTTATTGTTTTTAATAAGCCACCGTGTGGTGGCCAATGGCACGACGCGTCGCAGCTATACGTCACTTTTGTTTTGTTATTGTTATGATTACCCAATTAAGGCAGGCTTTTTTATAGGATAAGGGTGACAAACGAGCACACAGTCCACCTGATGGTAAGTGGTTGCTACAGCCCATAGACATCTACATCTATCCTCGTTTGCGAATCAAAATGCAGATGCGTTGCCACCCGTGAGGACTAAGATGGAATGCCTCATTTCCAGTAAAAAGGGCCTCCGGCCACCTGCACTCACCAAGCGAAACGCAGAGGTAAACCTCTACTTCACGCTTTGTCAGTCAGCTGGTCTTCTTCAGGCTAAGGTCTTAGACCATACAGTTTAATTTAATTTGTAATTTCTTCACAAAACAACTCTTCTCTTGTTTATTGTGTCACATTGCGAAATTCTTGTAAAATTTTAGCGATAGCTTAACCCAACGGAGATATTATCCTTATTGACTGCCTGTAAAAAAAATTGAGTGGGGCTGTGTCAATGGGTATATGGCCGTTGGGTTAACCTAAAACGTCTATATATCAGCGCGTCTAGAGTGAGTAGAAAGTAGCGAGTGTGCTGGTTTTGTCCAATCTGCGCGGTGCCCCTTCCTCGCTAACCTGCCTGATTCCGACACAAACTCAAACTCGTAACAGCAAATGACTATATAAATTAAATAATGACACTGTACTCACGTTTTACATCTATGCCGAATAATGTTTTAATTATTATGGCATAACGATATATTTTTCGCTACAGTGCAATTTTCTGACCATATCTTTCGGTTTAAAAGACGTTTTACGTCAGAAACCTGCGATTTATATCACAGTCAAAATACATAATCACCCCACTCTTACGTATCCGAAAACCACTTCAAATCATTATTCAAACGATAAAACTGGAGCAGCAATATTGCACAGCGTACATTTAGAACGATAAAAATGTAAGCCAAATACGACAACTTAAATAAAAGTATTACTTAAATTACTTACGGTTTATAATGTTTGTCACATGCTTTACGAATTTAAGAAAGTAGGGTGTAATTAAGTTTTTATCTCAACGAATTAAGAAGATGATCAAATCAAAGAATGACCTAAGAAAGAGGGATAAATAAATAATAGGATATGCAATTCCTATTTTTTACCTATTTTTTTATTTCAAATATATTAATATTTTTTTATTAAGAATTAAAGTTATAGATTCCATTATTTTGCCAACATGTCGTTAAATTTTACAGCAACTTCATTGACACCGATGCGGTGTCCCATCATCGGTCGCTACTCGGTCGTCAGTTCGCTGGCGGACAGCAGGAGGAGAAGACAACAAGACACCATAGGTAATAACAAAATACATCTTTCGTATCTTAATCATTGAATCTTTCATCAGCATTATTATTAAAGCCCGTTACAATTTCACCGCCGAACACCCTCTTCCCCAAAGAAACTGCCATAGAATCGACTTTTGTCTATCGACATTCGTTGACTTTCTGCATGGCTTATAGTTATTACTTCATCTCATGGGGGGCCGTCGTACACACCACTTACCGGTACGAGATTGCCTTTCGGGTAACTTCCTTTATCAGTTCTCGGTTCTTTATTGATCCGTTGGGCTCTGTCTGGTCTTACTCTGGGTATCCTCGTTCATATCCTAAGCTTGCCGGCCGGCTTCAAGCTTTTCCATCATACGGTTTTAACCGGTGATTGTTTTCATTTCAGGTGATATGGAAAGTGGTGTCGGTCCGTCTGAGTGTGTGTCGGGGCAGTTCGACAGCGCGAGCATCGGCTGCGGCGCCGCGCAGGACACCATCGAGTTCAAGTCGGCCTGCGCCACCGCCGGTGAGACACGCTGCCTCACTTACACACTTCGCGTTACGCCATGTGATTTTGCGTGGCGTGAAGTAACTTTATATGACGTGACCTCATTTTATGTGACGTGACATAATTTAGTGTAACGTGACGAATCACATCATTTAAACCGCAGAAGTTTGCTCTGCTGTATTTCTAAAGTTGTTCGGGCTTAATAAGTCTTATGATGACTGCCATGTAGATGTACTTTTAGCTGAAATATACTTTTAATTATTTAAATTGAAAGTATATTGCTCATTATAATCATTTGGTATTATACGTGGTAAAGCCATGCTGCAGCTATATTTCTGGTATAGTTGTAACACGAATGGGTCGATTCGACCGGGGAAGGACCACGCTGCATGCAGCATGCTGCTGTGTTTCGTATGGTGAGTGTAGAGATCCGGAGACCCTTTTTCTGGAAACGAAGCATTCCATCTTAGTCCTCACGGGTGACAACGCATCTACATTTTGATTTGTAGATGTCTATGGGCCACAGCAACCACTTACCATCATGTGAACTGTGTGCTCGTTTGTCACCCTATACTATATAAAAAAATAAACATGTTTTTAATAATAATATTGTTACGAGCTTGGGGTTCAAGACAATTAATAACTGCCGATTGAATTACCAAAATTGACACTTTAATTACACAACACTAATTACAATCTAAAATCACACTAATAATAAAACACAGGTCGCCGTTATTTCGCTTCGAAGTATTCTCTTGTATCGCCAATTCAATACTGCCCCGGTCGTGGTCTATACCGGCCTTATATAGAGCCTCAGAAAGTTTCCAGAACCTTCTACTGTAGCGACATCTAGAATGTTCGAGTACATATCGGTCCCGAAATTTCTGGAAGGATCTCGACTCTCCTAGTTCTGCTACTCGACACTAGAGGGCGTTAGTGTAACTAGTGTTGCCATGTACAAGACATTAATAGTGGCGCGCAATACTTTTATTTACTCGACACTAGGGGGCGCTAGTGTAACTAGTGTTGCCATGTACAAGACATTAATAGTGGCGCGCAACAATATGTACATTAAATATTAGTGTTTTCATCTTCTCAGACGTTTGCTGGCCCGTCTGTCTGACGTGCTCATAAATGTCATTCATTTTGTTCCGCAAGTCATTTGCATAATCGGTTATACTGCGTGGGGCATCAGGTGGTATTCCGGTGATCAGGTCTGCAGGCAGCTGCAATTCTCTCCCAAAGTTTGCGAAAGCTGGTGTCACTGATGTACTTTCGTGAACAGCGCTTCGATATGACAACAAAAACGGTTGTATGTGCCTGTCCCAGCGTTGCCGTTTTTCCACAACTTTTGCCAGGTACCTTTCCAATGTCTGATTAAATCGTTCTACCATTCCATCAGATTGTGGGTGGTAAGAAGTTGTTCGTGTTTTATGTGTACCTTTGCAAGTTTCCTGGAATATTTGAAACTCAAAATTCCTTCCTTGATCGCTGTGAATCTCTAAAGGTACTCCAAAACGACAGAAGACTTCATGAACTAGTTTATCTGCAACTGTTGAAGCTTCTTGATTTGGAATGGCGAAGACTTCTGGCCACTTAGTGAAGTAATCCATCACAACCATGAAATACTTGTTACCACTTTCAGTTTCTGGAAACGGCCCCTCAACGTCAATGGCTATCCTCTCCTATGGTGCACCAACATTGTACAATTTCAATGCGCCTCTACTACGAATTTGAGGTCCCTTTACAGCCGCACAACTTGTACATTTGCGGCACCAGTCCTCGACATCGTCACGACAGTGGACCCAGTAAAACCGTTCTCGGATCTTCAGGAGAGTTCGTTTAACTCCCAGGTGGCCTCCTGAACAACCACTATGGTACAGCTGTAGAACATCCGGCACTTTAGTCTTAGGGACAACCATTTGCAAATGACACCTGTCTCCCCGACCATTTTCCCATTTACGGCACAGGACTCCATCCTGAATCAGCAAGCTGTCCCATTGGGCCCAATAGCTTTTCATGGTCGAACTCATTGCTGAGACGTCGCTCCACTTGGGCTTAGGAGCACTGGCCTTCATCCATTCCAGAATCGGCTTAATGTCCGAATCTTCCTGCTGTGCATGTTGTAGGCTGTCCTTCCATTCATTGCTGAGCTGGTCTGTCCTGAATATCTTCGCAGATACCGCTTCTTTACCCTCTTGCCTAGTACAATGCTTGCAATCTTCAGGGCAAGGTCTTCTTGATAATGCATCTGCATTGCCATGAGATTTGTGTAGTAGTTCAATCCATCTCGCAACTTATCCTTCCGGATTTTCGAACTGCAATAGCCATTTCAGTGCAGCATGGTCAGTTCGTAAGTAGAATTTCCGCCCCAGGAGATATTTGCTAAAATTCTGCAAGGACTTTACCACAGCAAGCAATTCCCGTCTTGTGACACAATAGTTCCTTTCCGGCTTTGACAACGACTTGCTGAAGTACGCTATCACAATCTCTTGATCACCATTCCGTTGAGACAACACACCGCCAAGTCCTATATCACTTGCGTCTGTGTCAACTATGAATTCCTTGCCCGCATCAGGGTACCCCAAGATAGGCGTTTTGCACAGACGGTTCTTAAGCTCCTGGAATGCAATATCGCAACTTTCATCCCAGCAGAATTGTCGCTTCTCCTCGGTTAGCTTGTGCAGAGGTTTGGCTATATCTGCAAAGTTCTTCACAAATAGCCGATAATAAGAGCACAAACCCAAAAATGCTCTAACCTGCGTCTTGTCTTTTGGAACCGGCCACTCCTTGACAGCGGCAATTTTCTCTGGATCCGTGCGGATACCTTCTTCCGACACTACATACCCCAAACAACTAACTTGCCGTTTGAATAGTGAGCACTTCTTCAGACTCAACTTGAGGTTGGCACTCTGGATCTTTGTGAGCACACGTTCCAGGTTTTGAAGGTGTTCCTCAAACGTACGGCCTACGATGATGATGTCATCCAAATAGACCAGACAGGCATCTCCAATTAGCCCGGTAAGTACAAGCTCCATCAACCTTTCAAACGTTGCTGGAGCATTGCACAATCCAAACGGCATGACTTTAAATTGCCACAAACCCTTTCCTGTGGAGAATGCAGTTTTCTCCTTGTCCTTAGGGTCAATTTCAACCTGCCAGTAGCCACTTTTCAGATCCAGCGTACTAAACCACTTTACGCCTGTAAGCATGTCCAGCGTGTCATCAATTCTTGGCAAGGGATAGCTGTCCTTCTTTGTAACGTCGTTCAGGCGGCGGTAGTCAACACAAAACCGCATGCTGCCGTCCTTCTTCTTTACCAGCACCACAGGTGAACACCATGGACTAGATGAAGGTTCAATAACACCATCCTTCACCATTCCCTTAATCATGGTTTCCACTTCCTTTTCACGTGCTACAGGCAATCTTCTTGGCCGCTGACGAATAGGCAATTCTTGTCCTGTGTTTATTTTGTGTTGAACTAAGCCAGTCTTTCCTATGTCAACTTCGTTTGACGAGAAAACATTGGCGTACTTGAGTAACAACTTCTTCGCCTTGACCATTTCATTCGGGGAAAGAACGCTGCGACAGTCTTCTAAAAGTGTGGTCACTCTCGTTTGTCCATCCTTGCTGGGGGCCCGGTCGATAGATATTCGCACCGACGCAACCAATCCACTTCCTCACTAGTACCAACCAATGTGCCTTTTTCTATAATCTGTTCCTGATCACAAAGGTTCAACACACGTACTCCTGAGATGTCGGTGGTTCTGACCAAGGTTCAAGCCACTTTCCATGGAAGGTCATTGTCTACCCTTTCCACGAGTACACAACGATGAGCTTGCCTAGGACTCCGAGGAAGACTAACCGGCACAATCGTTTCCGATCTCGGCGGAAGAACAATCTTCTTAAGGCTGTACACATTCCCTGGTAACGCCTCTTCCACGAAAAGTTCCTCTTGTCCACATTTCAAAACACCTTGCTTAACGTCGATCTCACAACAATTCTTCCTCATAAAGTCTAGGCCCAGGATGCAGTCGTCCATTATATCAGCCACGATGACGTTATGCAGGTAGATCATGTTGCCTAGCTTCAACTCCATCTCCTTCTCTCCACGGACGGGTATGCGCTGACCGGTGGCTGTCACCAAATTAATGCGTTCGCGGTTGTATGCGGAGGCCCCAAGAAACTGATTTATAAGTTGGGAACTGACAACCGTGCGAGAGGCTCCAGTGTCTATGGTCATTTTACACGGCTTTCCTTTGACCTCGCCCTTGATGATCAGGCTGTTTCCATCACGGGTTTGTGAGATCGAAATCCTTGGGGCTCTTTTAACATCAGCCAGCACCCGCCAGTTTCCCTGCTGCTGCTGGGCGGTGCTGTCAGCCACACTACCCTCTCGATATCGATCACCTTCCCTTTCTTACAGTTCGTTTAGGTTTAGTTGGATATATATATATATATTTAGTTAGCTGGATCGAAGATGACCCCTTTCCCCACAGCCGTAGCACCTAGGGCTGTAGCTCTTATTGCGGTCCTGAACTGTAGCTGCTGCAACCTCCCTGACGCGGTGGGAACGATGATCCTGCCGCAAGGCTTCCACCTCCAGTGCATGGGTCAAGGCGTCCTTAAGCGTCTCGTGGTGCCCGAGCCTCACAGCAGCTCTGAATTCAAGGTCGCGGGTGCCGTCGATGAATGTCTGCACCAGGTTCCCTACAATGAGCGCAGGTACAGAATGGTACGCTTTTCGAACCAGCTTCTCCACCTCAACGGCCCACTGCTGCAGGTTTTCGTTACTGCGTTGCACGCGATCTTTGAGCTGCGCACGAAAGACGTGCTCCAGGTGAGCATCGCCATATCTCGCCTCCAATGCCTCAAGGAGCTGCTCGTAAGTCACTTCCCTACCGAGAGCTTCCAGAACAGTTAATGCCTGGTCGCGTAGGCCTAGGGTGAGAGCAGTCATGGCCTGACTTTTATTCCAGCCGTTCGCTTTCATGACAGCGAACTGGATTCGAATTGGA